GAGAGGTGATGTCAAAGGTCCTTCACAGGACGATCGCTTTTTGACAATAGCACCTATGGGAGTTGAGGATCTGCAAATTGACTCCCTTGAAACTCTACCTGCCATGCACCCCTCAGAAAGTCTCTGCACACCCCCGGGGGCACGTGCAGCTTGAACACCACTGTTCAACACGCCTTACCAGAGGAAAACTGCATCCAAGTCAACCCAGGGTGGGCTGGGCCCTGGCGCTTCCTACAGCTCAGGGTAAGTCCTTCCTGAACCTTCTATCATGCACACACCAGCTGGGGACAGGTGGCACCCACGCATCTGATGGGGCCTGGGGTCTGCGCCTGGGCCAGCTTTGGCCCCAGCCCAGCCTTCAGCAGTCACTTCTCTGCCCAGAGGAGGGGCAGACCGAGAACAGGAGAGAGGGAGAGCGGGATGGAGAGAACTGAGCACCCCCATGCTCCCCACCCAGTACCTCCTCAAACACACAGCGAAGCATGTGGGATTCACCAGCCTGGCTGCTGCCCAGCTCTCTAATCCAGAAGGCTTGGGGCCAAGTCTCCTGCTGGGTCCCAAAGGAAGCCCCAAGTTTGGCCTCATTTTCCTGAAACCTCCCTCCCTTCTAAAACTTCTTTTTGTCCCAAGCTCTCGCCAGGCCTTCATCTCATCCAGAATGCTGGGTCTTGGACACAGGGCCTGGGTCTGCCCCCAACCCTGTCCTCCAGCAGTAGCCACCTGGAGTAGGGACACCTCAGCTGTTGTCAACAGAAGCAGATGCTCACTTTGGGGCCTACATTCTAGAGCGACCTGCCTTTTAACGCAGGTCTCTCTGGGCATCAGCATGAACCAGCATGGTCATGGCACCTGGAAAGATTCACAGAATGCCACTCCCCTGTCCCAGCCTCCCCTGACCTGGCACCTGCTACTGACTGAGCCAGGAGTCCTTCCATGGGTCCTGGAGTGGCATCTGGATACAGCCCAAGTGGGGAAAGTATAGGGACTGAGTCAGACTGACCTGAGTCCAAATGTTTGCCCTTCACTCAACTGTGTGAACTGGGGCACGTCACTTAACCTCCCTGAGCCTCAGTTTCCTTGTTGGGAGTGTCCACACCTACCTCGGAGGGTTGCTATGGAGAATAGTAACAGCATCTCAATTAATCATCATAACAAGCCTCATAGGTTCAAGCCTTGACAGCTGCTTCCATTTTACAGATGGGGATATGGAGGCTTAGAGAGGAACTTGCCCAGGGCCACACATCTAGAAAGTGAGAACTGGGGACAAAATCAAGTCTCTCTGACTCACCTGCTCGGCCAAACCTGCAAAATAACATGTAAAGCACCCGGCCCGGTGCCTGCACCTCTTGGCAACAAGGGTGGCTGCTGTTAGCACTATTTCTTTAGAAAGGAGACATCAGGGTTCCTGGTGCGTGGTCTAGCTTCATGGGCAGACCTGGGTGCTGGCAGGCACCTCCAGTACAGTCCTTCTGTTACTTCCCTCCTCACTGCTTCTGTTCTAGCTGCCAGCTAGGAGCCCTACATTTTCCTGGGAACATCTGCGACAGGAAAAGCAACTCCCGATGCTAAGGCCCAGTGCCAGCCCTGTTTCCTCCAGAAAGCCTTCCTGGATTACCCCAGGCTTCAGGACTCTTCAGTTCCCTTCTGCCCCTTGCACTAAGACCTGGTCCCTCTGCAGCCTGCCAGCACCATTTGCAGTTGCTTTAAATGCACCAGCCTGTCTGAGGCCAGGTCTGGGTAAGGTGGCACTTTCGAGTTTTACTGCGAGTCCCCACCACTGCCACATTCCCAACCCCCTCTACAGGTGCACCCTGGTACCCACTCAGGGAGGCCTGCCCCCCTCCCCAACAATGAAGCTCTGTCTCTCAGGAGGCCAGCAGCCTCCAGAAGCCAAGTCTATTTCAGGATGTCATTTAAATACAGAGAAGGGAGGGTGCAGAGCAGAGAGGGACATGGCACGTTTTCCAGAGAAATGCTGTTGCCTGGATTGCTGTGGCTATTTATAACCCCTGGGAAATGTGGACTCTGCTATTTCCTGATTAGATTAGCACTGGGGGCAGAGGGGCCAGACCCAGGGATGGCAGTGGATGGGAACACCTGACCGCTCGCCCTCTAGTCCCAGCAGATAGGCGCCATCCACCAGCCCTGTGGAGCAAACACCTGGGGGACGTCAGGTCACCTGAGAGAGGGAGGTATATGGGGCTGCAAAGGGCCAGGCTGGGGGAGACCCCAGAGGGCCCTCCTTCACCCTACAGGAAATGCACAGACAGTGGGGCTCCCCTAAGGTGGGCCGCAGAAGACA